TCACTGCATTGGTAACACGTGAGTCCAACAAGGATCACTGATAGAATGAATTTCCTTTTAGTTGGAATTTCTTTATGTTATATTTCTGTTTTTCCCAAAGGTAGAGGCGATCTGCTCCAAGGGACAGAGCAATGCCCAGGAATAGGTGTGGATGAGAGTTTACTTCATACCTCCTTAATTTTAACAAAGTCAGGCATAAGGTTCTAATGCCATAGAACTCGATTATTGGAAGGAGCTTAGAGACCATTCCGTGTCTCCACCCGCACATAATGATGAGAGAACTGAAGTAGCATTATTTGTCTTGCTAAAAGAAATGCAGATGGGGATTTCTTTCCATTTTACTATTAAAGATTTAACAGTCTACGACTTTTAAGTACTCTTGGCCTCCATCACAAGCATATTTCATTTTTGCTGTGGATGAGCATTTCCTCTGCACTAGGCTGTCAGATCCATGAGCGTGGAACTTGCTATCAGAGTCTTTGCAACATGTGCAGAGTACCTGGTGGTCTTAGGTGACTCAGTTGTTTGCCTTCAAGGTCAAGTTTTATAAAGGTAGTGACTCATTTTTTTTAATGCTAGAAATGAGAAATTATTCTAAATATGGTTATTAACTACAGGTGGGAAATACAGTTTCTGTGACTTTTGGAGAGGTATTAGGAGATGTTGATGAAGACTCTGGACATAACCTTCAGAAAAATGCACATGCACATATAGACATAGGAAAAATCATGTTATTTATAGGGTTTTTGATCCTCAGAACCATCCTGTTGCTCTGCAGTGGCTTATTGATCATGGAGCATGAACACTTTGTGTCATCATTTGATTAAAATCCATCATGGAAATAATTTCCATGTTTACCCTAGTGGAATAAATTAACAATCCTTGTTTCATTTATTTCAGAAATAACCAGCTTGTAGCTTTTCCAAAAGTATATTGCTAGACCAAGAGTGGGAGTTTGAGGGCCTGGGACATTGAGTGACACTACAAACTGAGAATAAGGTGATAGGACAATGAATTGCTAAAAGAACAGTTAGAAGGAGTGATTATGGTGGATTAGGTCAAAGGTTTAGGTAGAACAAAGAAAGCAGTTAGGACCTAGAGGCAAATGCTGCTGTCATCTGAGGAGATGTGAGGCTGGCTGAGTTTGTACAGAGCAGGCCTTCTCTGAATGGCACGTGTGAAGCAACATGCTCACCCCACCATGCAGAGTTTCTGTTCAAAGGATTATAAACTGTGGACAGTCTTAAATTTAAAATTACATGTCTGAGAGTTGCCAGTTTAGGAGAAGAAAAAAATAAAGCTCTGAAATACATTGCCAAATTTTAGTCTTTAACGTTCATGAGTTTTCAGCCTGTAGAGCCAGCATCCATTTCTGATTCCAGAAATCCTGGGAATGTATTAGCTTTAGGTGTGAAGATGCGGGCTCTGGACTTAAATACCACCACCTCTGGTGTTTTTTTTTTTTTTTTTTTTTCCCGGGCTTTAGTTGATGATACTGTGGAAACAAAAATGACTTTGCTTGGTTTGGCAGAAATGCAAGAAAGATAAGCTGCTTGGGGAAGAGGGAACCTGTTCCAATCCCTGTCCCAAGGTCTTTTCAAAATGTATGCGTCAGCCTGAGAAATTTTCATATGTAATGCCTAAGTCTAATTATTTAGTTTGGCTACAAAGGATTGGCGAAGCATGCTTTTAATCGTTTTGATGCTAACATTGTCACAAGGCAACATTAAATCATTTTGAAATGATAATACTTTACGTTAGTCACTATTTTCGCAGCTGTTTTTCCTTGTCACATTTGAAACTAAACCCAATAGAATTGGCTATAGTAAAAGAAAAGAAAGCAAGTGACTACCTCAAGTTTATTTTCCTGGCGGTACCACTAGAAACAACAAATGAGATGCAAGATTCTTAAACGTCTTGCTCCCCTCATTGGCATTGCTATAATTCAGGGACTTAACATCTTTCAGAAACTTCTGGGTAGTCCCCTTGCTCCCACTTTTCCAATTCTCATCCATCCTGAACACTGCAGCCAGACTTTTTTTCCAACACTCAGTTAAAGTCTTTGTCACTTTTCTGTGTAATATGTTTTAGTGGCTTCTTGTTACCTAGATGATAACAAAACTCCCCAGCGTGCCATTTTGGGCTCGATTATCTGGAGGCTGCCTTGATGTCCAGCCTTACATATTCTGTATGTTCTAGCATACCAAACTATACTTCAATTCCACAAATATTAGTAAGTACTTAATTTGTCTCCAAGACACTGAGCTAGTGCTGTGGATTCGAAGATAAGTTAGACATAGTTTTTGTGCTGAAGGAGCTCACACTGCAGAGTAGGAGACATATTAAAAATGCAGTGTGTGAGGGCACCTGGGTTGCTCAGTCGGTTAAGTGTCTGCTTTTGGCTCAGGTCATGATCCCAGGGTCATGGGATTGAGCCCCACATTGGGCTACCTGCTTAGCGGGGAGCGTGCTTCTCCCTCTCCCTCTGCCCCTCCCCCTGCTTGTTTTCTCTCTCTCAGATAAATAAAATTTTTTAAAAATTTTTTTAAAATGCTGTGTGTGAATGTGATATATGATGATATATGCCCTAGTACATTCCCGTGTTCTTCTGCCTTGAATAAACTTTTCTTTATATCTTTCCTGTAAAGCTTCCATTTGTCTTTCAACACTATTGTCAATTATCATCTTCTTTTATACGGTGATGCACAATTACTTGAAAGATTTCTTTTGTGTATAGTTGTATTAGAATTTATTTCACTTATATTGTATTTTGTGTATGTATCTATTTATGGATTGTTCTGTGAGCCCCTTGAAGGCAGGGCTTGGTCAGGACTACACCCTTAACTACATGCTCAATACCTAACATGTAATAGATTCTTATAAATATTTGTGGACTGGATAGCTTTTTTTTTTTTTTTTTTAAGTAGGCTCCATGCCCAGTGTGGAGCCCAGTGTGGGGCTTGAACTCATAACCCGGAGATCAAGACATAAGCTGAGATCAAGAGTTGGACACTTAACTGAGCCACCCAGGTGCCCCCTGAATAGTTTTTTAATATTAGTCCACTATTATAAAAAAAAAATACAGAGAAGTTCTCATCTTCACGACTCAGGTTTAATGGAAGACAAGATAACATTCTTCTTTGATAGAACTTACTTTTCCCAAACTGGAATTTAATAATCATACTCAAAGTAACAGTTAATATTTATTGAACTTTTCCTATCTTCAAGCTATTGTTTTAAGAACCTTATATAATTATCTCCTTTAATCATCCTAACACTTATATGAGTTGGGAAATATAATGACTTCCTTTTTATAGATTTTGTAGAAAGTTTAAAAAATACATCATCATGATTGTAATAGCTGATATATAGCACTTACTGTGTACCAGGCACCATTATAATGCTGATCGTATATTAAGTCCTTTATTCTTCACACCTCCATGATTTATTAATAGCTTATATTATTCTTTCCTCAGCTCTGCTTTATAGTTAGTATGGAATGTTTATTGGATATGAGTCCTACAAAAATAAGCTTACTGTATTTGGAGATGCTAGAAAATATTATTCCATGTGCCTCTGGTCTGAAAAACTATTAAAGTTATATCTAGCTTAATAGAAAATAATTAGTGTAGAGTTCAGACTTGTATCCAGTGTACATAAAGCATGATTCATAAACATTAATAAGACCACCCTGACCTGAGAAATTGATATATAGTATCATATATTCTTGAGCATACAACCTTTTGGTTTGTCAAAACTAAGATCAAAATCTGTCTTGCTCAATAAGGGAAGTAACATTTAACCATTGTAAATTAGGAAAGAGTGAAGGGAATTCTCAAAAATATGAAATAATAAAGCCCACAGTTGATGTGTGGAACATATAGGCTTTAAATTTCAAAGACCAAAGATAAATTTTATTAGGGGTTGAAAACTGCCATAATACATTTTAAGCAGTATCTTGATACCTATTTCTGAGACATTGTCTCTTTATATTTTTCTCATCAATTAATAATGACTTACTTGAAAATAATGTTTTAGTTTTAAGGTCTAGAAGTATCTAATGGACCTTAATAAGTAATGAGTGATATTATTACTTTATTGGTATTTAGTATTATACAGTTGTAGAAAATGAGAAGGTATGACAAGTACTTGAGGCAAAATCTATTGAAAAGATTTGGATTTCTGTAAACCCAGACCTAAGTTTAAATAAGAGTCGGTCCATATCACAACTGTGAATGAAAAAAAGAATTAGAACTTACAGACAAGTGTCAAAGAGAAATGGGGACTGGGACTGAGGTTATAGCATCAGTTTTACCACCATGTGATGTTGTGACTTTAGGGCATGTGGCTTCACCTTGGAGGAATTAAACACCTTCGTTTATAAAATCATGAATTTGTATTAATTGATTTTCAAGGTCCCTTCCTGCTTTACAATTTTGATCCCATTATTGGTTCAGGATCATATATCTTTCAGAATCCATTTTCTTACATTTGGGTTTCTCTGTTTACTTCATGAATACATAAAATAGGAACAGTATAATCCTCCAAACACAGTCATGAATCTTAACATTATCAAAAGTAGAGGGCAGAGAAATGCTCTGAGGTTTATCACACACTTAGTTTGATGCTTATTTTGCATATATTGATTGATTTAACCAGTGTGCAAATGTACTGTAGATTGATGTTTTAATTTATAACTTAAGAAGATGACCAGAGTTGTGAAATATTTTGCATTTAATTGCTTTGATACTCATTTTAGTATCTTGCATTTTTTCATGTGTAAGATCAATATTGTATCAGTAAAATACAAATGTCATAAATCACACTGATTTCTAAATGAATGTGTGCTTAAAACTGTATATTGTTTGCTTATATCTAAATTGGAGCATTTGTGCTGTATATATTCATTTACAGAGTGCAAAAATGTATGTATTGAGGCAAATAAGTATTTTTCTAATTAATTTTTTCTTTCTTTCTATTTCTCTTTTACTTTCCCATAGACTTGCTGCTTTCAAATAGCTGCATTCCCTTTTTGGGTTCATCAGAAGGACTAGATTTCCAAACCATCCTGTTGGATGAGGAGAGGGGCAGGCTGCTTGTAGGAGCCAAGGACCACATCTTCCTGCTCAGTCTGGTTGACTTAAACAAAAATTTTAAGAAGGTTAGTTTATTTATTTGTAGTTGACTGAATATGCATTTATCTTCATCCATGCCTTTCTTTTAAGTGACTCAGTGTCAAATGCACTAGGTCTTTTACATGTCCAAAAAGAACACATTAAAAGAACACCTTGCTTCAGATACACATTTTGGATTTTTGTGGATTTAAGTACATATACATGTTCTCTGTTAAGAGTGAATAAGCATCATAATAAAGCCTTTGAAGATATGAATGAAAGAGATTATACAAGAGAAAAGCAATGGTTTAGATTGAAAAGCTGGCAAATGAGTTATTCATCAATAATTAACATTTATATCTATAGCAATTATTGTAGAATTAAATTTTTATTAACTTTCAATGAACAAATAACCATACTTTAAATTGGCAGTGTGACTATGGTGGCATTTTAACACCACACTGTTTGTTTTTTTTTTCCACGTGTTTATTTTTTAATTCAATAGTTTTCTCCTATGGCCCATATCACACTGAGAGGGTGAAGATTAATAATACCCCCAACTATGGGCTCATGAAGAACAATCTACCACTAAAAGAAAATATATGCTAGTTATAGAAAAAACAAAAGGCAGCTGCTGTTGTGCTTTACATTTTCAGTTAGCAAACTGAAAATTTCCTTTTGCCCAAAGGAAAGAGTGCCACACTTTAGACCTTATAAATTATGATCAAGTGGTACTTTAGCAAATGCCAATATCTGTGCAAGCCAAGATGGATGCCAAGACTGAAAGGGATTGAATGATGAGAAGACATAATGCATGACCCATTCTGCATCTACAAAACATCTTAGATTGTTTTTTTTTTTCTCTCCTTTTTCAGAAGTATTGCCAAAAAAAAAAAAAATGCTAGGAGCCATTACAAGATTTCAGGTCAATAATCTCCAATATTGAATTAATAGAGGATTCTTTCCATTCAAAAAAGAGCTGTTTATAAGTCATCATAGGACTTTGAAGCTTCAAATAGCTTTCACCTACAATGACCACTTTAACTTAAACCTCTAATTTTTGAAATACATTTAATAACTATTCATTGCTCAGTTATTTGAATATCATTCAGGACTAAGGGCTTTAGTCTACATAGGCAAAATATTTATCTCCATATGTGTTAATATTGCTTAATTAATGCCTGCATCAGAAACAATGTTTTTTGCCTTTTAATAATTTAATTTTTAAGTAGTTCTTCTGTCCAGTTTTGAAGTCCACCAAAAGAAGGTGATATCTGTTATGAATGCTCAGGCTTGATAAAAAAAAAAATAATCTTTAAATGCAAATGTATATGCATGTATTAGATAATTCTAAAAGAAAGTGTGAGGGTAAAATGTTGCCAGTAGTTGTTCTTGACTTGTGATAATCCAAATACACTTAGAAACTCATAAGATTATCTTCTTAAAAAAATATTATTCTGTAGTTTGATAAGCAGTGAGTTATGTGCTAGAATTTGAAAAGCTTACCTTCATTCTGCCATTATAGTTCCATTTCATTTATTTTTTTTTAATTTAATTTTATTATGTTATGTTAGTCACCATACAATACATCACCAGTTTTCGATGCATTGTTTCGATCCACGATTCATTGTTTTCATACAACACCCAGTGCTCCATGCAGTACGTGCCCTCCTTAATACCCACCACCGGGCTAACCCATTCCCCCACCCCCCTCCCCTCTAAAACCCTCAGTTTATTTCTCAGAGTCCATAGTCTCTCATGGTTTGTCTCTCCTTCTGATTCCCCCCCTTCATTTTTCCCTTCCTTCTCCTAATGTCCTCCATGCTGTTCCTTATGTTCCACAAATAAGTGAAACCATATGATAATGGACTTTCTCGGCTTGATTTATTTTACTTAGCATAATCTCCTCCAGTCCCAACCATGTTGATGTAAAAGTGGGGTATTCATCCTTTCTGATGGCTGAGTAATATTCCATCGTATATATGGACCACATCTTCTTTATCCATTCATCTGTTGAAGGACATCTCAACTCTTTCCGCAGTCTGGCTATTGCGGACTTGCTGCTATGAACATTGGGGTGCATTATGGCCCTTCTTTTCACTACATCTGTGTCTTTGCGGTAAATACCTAGTAGTGCAATTGCTGGTTCATAGGGTAGCTCTATTTTTAACTTTTTGAGGAATCACCACACTGTTTTCCAAAGTGGCTGTACCAACTTGCATTCCCACCAACAGTGTAAGAGGGTTCCCCTTTCTTCACAACCTCTCCAACATTTGTTGTTTCTTGCCTTGTCAATTTTTGCCATTCTAACTGGTGTAAGGTGGTATTTCAATGTGGTTTTGATTTGAATTTTCCTGATGGCTAATGATAATGAACATTTTTTCATGTGTCTGTTAGCCATTTATATGTCTTCTTTGGAGAAGTGTCTCTTCATGTCTTCTGCCCATTTTTTGACTTGATTATATGTTTTTTGGGTGTTGAGTTTGAGAAATTCTTTATAGGTCTCTGATACCAGCCCTTTCTCTGTAGTGTCATTTGCAAATATCTTCTCCCATTCTGTGGGTTGCCTCTTTGTTTTGTTGACTGTTTCCTTTGCTGTGCAGAAGAGTTTTATCTTGATGAAGTCCCAAAAGTTCAATTTTGCTTTTGTTTCTGTAGCTTTTGGAGATGTATCTTGAAAGAAGTTGCTGTGGCCAATGTCAAAGAGGTTACTGACTATGTTCTTCTCTAGGGTTTTGATGGATTCCTATCTCACATTGAGGTCTTTCATCCATTTTGAGTTTATCCTTGTGTATGTGTTAGAGAATGGTCCAGTTTCATTCTTCTGTATATAGCTGTCCAATTTTCCCAGCACCATTTATTGGAAAGACTGTCTTTTTTCCATTGCATATTTTTTCCTGCTTTGTCAAAGATTATTTGACCATAGAGTTGAGGGTCCATATCTGGGCTCTCTATTCTGTTCCATTGGTCTATATGTCTGTTTTTGTGCAAGTGCCATGCTGTCTTGGTGATCACTGCTTTGTAATATAGCTTGAAATCAGTCAACGTGATGGCCCCCGCTTTGTTTTTCTCTTTCAACATTCCCTTGGCGATTTGGGGTCTTTTCTGATTCCATACAAATTTTAAGATTGTTCCAGCACTTTGAAAAATGTCATTGGAATTTTGATCGGGATGGCATTGAAGGTGTAGATTGCGCTGGGTAGCACAGACATTTTAACAATATTTATTGTTCCGATGGAGGAACATCAGAATAACGTCAGAACTATCCACAGAGACCTGGCAAGCCAGAAAGGCCTGGAAAGACATATTCAGGGTGCTGAACGAGAAGAACATGCAGCCAAGAATACTTTATCTGGCAAGGCTGTCATATAGAATGGACAGAGAGATGCAGAGCTTCCAAGATGGGCAGAAACTGAAAGAATATGTGACCTCTATGCCAGCCCTGCAAAAATTATTAACGGGGTTCTACAAAAAGAGAAAGACCCCAAGAGTGATATAGAAAAGAAATTTACAGGGACAATCTATAAAAACAAGTTCTTCACAGGCAACATGATGACAATAAATTCTTATCTTTCAATAATCACTCTCAATGTGAACGGCCTAAACGCTCCCATAAAATGGCACAGGGTTGCAGATTGGATAAAAAGACAGGACCCATCCATATGCTGTCTACAAGAGACTCATTCTGAACCTAAAGATACATCCACACTGAAAGTGAAGGGATGGAGATCCATCTTCCATGCCAACGGACCTCAAAAGAAAGCTGGGGTAGCAATTCTTATATCAGACAAATTAGATTTTAAACTAAAGACTGTAGTTAGAGACACAGAAGGACACTATATTAGTCTTAAAGGGTCTATCCAACAAGAAGATCTAACAATTGTAAATATCTATGCCCCCAACATGGGAGCAGCCATCTACATAAGCCAACTGTTAACCAAAATAAAGAGTCATATTGATAATAATACATTAATTGTAGGAGACCTCAATACTCCACTCTCAGCAATAGACAGATCATCTAAGCAGAAAATCAACAAAGAAACAAGAGCTTTGAAGGACACACTGGACCAGATGGACCTCATAGATACATACAGAACATTCTACCCTAAAACAACAGAATACTCATTCTTCTTGAGCGCACATGGAACTTTCTCCAGAATAGACCACATACTGGGTCACAAATCACGTCTCAACTGATACCAAAAGACTGAGATTGTTCCCTGCATATTCTCAGACCATCATGCTTTAAAACTGGAACTCAATCACAAGAAAAAAATTGGCAGAAATTCAAACACTTGGAAGCTAAAGACCACTCTGCTCAAGAATGTTTGGGTCAACCAGAAAATCAAAGAAGAACTTAAACAATTCATGGAAACCAATGAGAACAAAAACACATCAGTCCAAAACCTATGGGATACTGCAAAGGTGGTCCTAAGGGGGAAATACATAGCCATCCAAGCCTCACTTAAAAAAATAGAAAAATCCTGAATTCACCAAATAAACACACCTTAAAGAACTAGAGAAAAAGCAACAAATGATGCTGAAGCCATGCATTAGAAGAGAAATAATTAAGATTAGAGCAGAGATCAATGAATTAGAAACCAGAAACACAGTAGATCAGATCAACAAAACTAGAAGCTGGTTCCTTGAAAGAATTAATAAGATCGATAAACCACTGGCCAGACTTATCCAAAAGAAAAGGCAAAGGACCCAAATTAATAAAATTATGAATGAAAGGGAAGAGATCATGACTAACACCAAGGAAATAGAAACAATTATTAGAAATCATTATCAACAACTGTATGCCAATAAATTGAGCAACCTGGAAGAAATGGATGTCTTCCTGGAAACCTATAAACTCCCAAGACTGAAACAGGAAGAAATTGACAACCCTGAATAGGCCAATAACCAGTAACGAGATTGAAGCAGTGATCAAAAACCTCCCAAAAAACAAGAGTCCTGGGTCTGATGGATTCCCTGGGGAATTCTACCAAACATTCAAAGAAGAAATAATACCTATTCTCCTGAAGCTGTTTCAAAAAATAGA